AAAAATGTTTCATTTTATAATAATAAAGCCACCAACACAAAATAATTACAATTCTTAAATTGATGACAAAAATACCTGTAGGATTTGCAGCTGGTTGGAAAAATACAGGTAACTTTATGCTTCGAGTAGGTACTTTTGTCACCCGTGCGCGATTTGCGGATGCGACTAGCACTAACCACTGCACAATGAGGCTGCTGACTGACTGGCTCACTCAACTCGTGCACAAATCGCGCACGCCTCCCTCGCGCTGCATATCCCGGCCCGCCTGCGCCGTGTCTCCTGTCGCCAGATCGACCGACACCCCCCACTTCTTCTAATGCCACTTCTTCAAAATAGACTCGCCCAGGCCGAAAACTGACTTCTGCGCATGGGCCACGAAGTTTCAATCGCACTGTATGTGCGCGCCCGCACATGGTATTTTGTGGAAGAGCCACATTCAAGGGGCCAAAGAGCCGCATGTGGCTCTCCAGCCGCGGTTTGCCGACCACTGATCTACACCATCAGGCTTTGTGCGGAGAAGATTTCATCCTTTTAGCCTCTTGGGGAGGGCTGTGGATCAGTCTGAAGTCCATTTCATTCATTATTTTTAAAAATATATATTTTATTGATTTTTTACAGAGAGGAAGGGAGAGGGATAGTTAGAAACATCGATGAGCGAGAAACATCGATCAGCTGCCTCCTGCACACCCCCCACTGGGGATGTGCCCGCAACCAAGGTACATGCCCTTGACCGGAATTGAACCTGGGACCCTTCGGTCCGCAGGCCAATGCTCTATCCACTGAGCCAAACCGGTCAGGGCCCATTTCACTCATTATTAAAATAAACAACTGGCATTTGTTACTGGGGAAAAATATACTTGAGAAGAAAGAGAGCCTAAGCAGGTAAATAATTTTGATTTTTCTGGTGTGATACATAACACACACACACACACTCACACCATATACACACATTTATAGGACAGATCTACTAAATGCCACATCTCTCTCACTCTCCTCTCCCTTCTCTCATCTCCATTTATATTGATAAATTCCCTTCCATTTTTTTCTTCAGCATAAGAAGAAAAAACATAAAATAATTTTAAATTCAAGTACCATGCAAACACATCATGTAAAAATCATGATATAATGCATCTTAAGATTTTCATTTAAAATCTGGTATTAGCTGTGTGGCAGATTGAAAGTACATAGGTAGAAACCCAAGAAATAATGACAGTCTAAAATAAATACACATTTTATCATAGAGTAGAATGTGATTTCATGAAATAGTCACTGCTTCAGCTACCACAGTTTACTGTTTTCAGACATCATTGCTTCTAACGACTGGATCAGGGCATGAAATTTTTATGCTCAATCCCACAGAAATAATTGTTGCCTTTTTGCTCAACAGTCCACACTGTTGTTTCTATGGATCATTGGGCAGTCTCCCTTACTGGGATGGAAAGCTAAGTGTGGAGAAAATGTAAAAAGCTGCATCACTAATCAGGAAGAGACATGCTAAGAGTCTGCCTATAGACATAAGGATATGGTACATTCAAGCTCACCACATTGTATTAGCAAGAAGTATTCTTGAGATATTACTAGTAATTATGCTAGCTACATGGCTGTTTTTCATGAGAAAAAAGAACAATGATTGGACAAGAATTTTACATTTCCTATAAAGGTGAAGATGCTTATCATTTATGACCAACATGTCATTCTCCTAGGTACAGACTCTAGAAAATCTCTTGCACCTGTGTACTTAGAGACAGCAAAACACTGAATTCAAATGTCTATCAACAACATAGTAGATAAGTACAGTGAGGCATATTCATACAATGGGATACTTTGCAGCAGTGAAAATAAATGAATGAATTATAAATTCATGTGGCTAGGGATTATACGTTGAACAAAAAAGCAAGCCACAGAAAACCATACACAGTAAATAACTTAACTTATAGAAATTTTAGAGACATATAAAATATAACAACATATTTTGCAGGGATTCAAATCTATGGGATGAAACTGTCTAGAAAAGCAAAGAAACATTAAATTAAAATTAGGATAGTGGTTACCTCTGGGGAGAAATAAGTAAGATGGGATTAGGGAAGATTAATACAATAACTCAAAAGTAATGATCTTTTTTTTTCCCTTAAACTGGATGGTGGGTATTTACTGAATCATATTGTGTTATACTTTTACACACTATATCTTATGAGCCAACTTTTTAAAATGGTATAGTTTGTTGATTCTTTTTGCTTCTCCAAAATTTGACTTCATAGTCCAAAGCTAAGTGCAAAATAATAGTAATACATACCAAATTTAGTGCAATAATGTGGGGGTAGCATGCAATCATCATCCCTTGACATCTAATCTAACATGTTGACATTGTAACAATAAATTGGCAATTTATGATGTTTCTTCATAGCTAGCCTTTCTGTTTGTTCAGTTATTACTGATGTTAATAATAGAAGACTGAAAGTACTTCATAAAACTGTGTTTAGAAATCTGTTCTTTGGTATTTTCTAAAATTAAGGAGGAAAGAAACACAGCCAGAGGCCAAGCTTTATAAAATCAGGCATAGCCCAGTCACAATGCTACCGTATACAAATATTGACATCTATAATCCTTTCCTCTCTGCCAGGCATAGAACCAAGGTAGTGGTGCCTTCCTTACAGGAGAAGCGCTTTCCCAAGGAAGATAACGCAAAATTCAGATTTAATGAAATAGACCGAACAGAGCTAGAGGGCAGTCAGCATTGGGACAGCTAAAGGAACACACAGGAGAGACACGTAATATGGAACTCCAACTGGGAGTTCATGAAAGAAACTGATGCTCAATAATGAAGAGAAATACATGGAGGATGTAGCCTAGAGAAAGAGAATTCCAGGCAATTGCAGAGAGGCAGTGAGTTTAGGGAATTAAAAATTTCCCTGCAGAGATCTGTGAAGATGATCTGACTGAAAACAGATTAGACTTAGATTCCGGGCTCCCTGCCATTGTCATGTTCTACTCACACACTGGAGATAGCACAGAGAAGGAAGAGAGTAAGGGCTGTGGACTCTGAGACTAGGACTGAATCCTTGTCTGTCTCCAGAATCACAGACCAGCTCTCAGCGTCTGTAAAATGGGGATGATGACACCTACTCCCTAGGGTGGCACAGATTAAATGTTCAGTTGTTATCACTAATCTACCTTCTGTTTTGTGGCAGTTTGATCTTTCTAAAATATAGCTCCTGGTTCTCCCGCATTTAAAACCCAACTACTGTTCTGGGCAACAATTGCCCAGGATAAATACTCAAATCTCTTAACATACCTTTCACCTCTTTGAGTGATCTGGCCTGTTTCCCTCTCCAGCCTCATCCATCCGGCCCTTCAGCCACATTAACTCATCTTGGTTCCCTAACTCTTCAATAAATTAAAAGTAAACTTACAATTTATTGAATACACGTAAAAACATTTGATAAGTTTGGGTAAATTCATCTGCATGATAGTCTGTACTATCTCACATTTTAAACTTCTACAAATCAGAACCTATATTGCTTTAGTATATTCCATATATCAGCACAATTATTAACATTAAACAATAACAAACCAATTTACTGTTGCTCTGGAGCAATTTTTAAAAATACAGTAGTCGTTCTAGTATGTGTTGGGAAATAACTATGTTATATACACATTTTCATTATTAGCTATTTCATAGTTTAATACTAATTATGATTAATATAAAATATACATGGGTACATTTAATGCATGGGTACATGAATATGGGTACATTTCATATAAAATGTACCAAATCATAAAAGACCATCAGACTAATACATGAATAGCCACTTGGTCACAAATCAGGGTGGAGAGAGGAAATTTTCCTGTCAATCAACTGTAGGCAATGCACACAATCCAATCAGAGGGGGAAAATGCAAAAGAATTGCCAGTAAACTCCAGGATTGCTGTCAATCTGTATGACGTCCCTTTTTTGCTTCAATCAGCAAACCATCAACAGAGTGACAACCGAACCTTTAAACTCCTGAGGACGAGGACTCCTCTTACCTCAGCATCAAAGCGCGGGTCCTGGTAGGCATCACTGATGTTCACGGGAAGGCCTGTGGAGGCCACGAGCTCCGCAATGCTATTATTTATCAGCCAGTCGGAGTATGATGATTTCTCCATGCTTTCTTTGAAACTATCAGGACACCAAGGCAGGAGGTAAGAAAAGAGAGAAACATAAGCTTGCTTGAAAGCAAACCCTATAAAACTACACTGGACACAGAACCTAGCGAGAACTTGGCTGAAGAACCTAGACAGAACATGGCGAGAGAACCTACACAGAACCTGGCCGGAGACCCTGGCTAGAACCTGACTACAGAACTTGGCTGGAGAACCTGGCAAGAGAACCTGCAGAACCTGGCAACAGAACCTGGCTGAGGAACCCAACTATGATGATCAACTGAATGCTGCCTCTGTGTCATTCATTCTTCGCCGACTCCGTCCACACCTTTGGGGATCCCTGGACCTGCTGGGGTTGGACCCCAGCAGGTTAGT